ATTTATAACAATACTAATACATCTCAACCTTAAACAGTGAAATTTGATGCATGTTTGATCTGACATGAACATTATTATGTACAGTAAGGCTTATTCAAGTTAAGCATGCATAGGATTACAGCTGTAATAGCATGAGGGGCAAATGGAGATTGATCTGAAAAGCGTCTACAACCCTAACCCTATCCCTATTTCCTCAGGAGCAAATATATTCTACTCAGCATAGGATCACACCCTATTCTGCTTAATGCCTTTATTCTATCACATACCCCCTCAACATGCACACAGAGCACTGAAATGTCAAAAGGTGTTTACCACGGTTTGTAGTCAAAGTTTGGCCCTGGAATTCATGATTGATAGGCAACTTAAAGTCATGCTTGTTAGAGTGCTAACAATAACACATCAGTAGATTTTACCAATATAATCTGACTTTCATATACCATGACATACACATGTTGGATCTTAGCCAACCTGTCAACCACATAAAGCTTCTCAAGAGTTCAACAACTACATAAATATAATGCTTGCTTATCCTATATTTTAATACACTATTCTTTTGAATAAGCAACCAAAGTGCTGACTAAAGACCAAAATATTAAGTCAGAGATGCTAAAACTGTATGGAAATGAGATACAACTACAATGTTGGGAAATTACATAATACGAACGCCACATAATGCAGCATGTGTTAGTCTAAAACATCTACTATAGTGTAACTGAAGTATAATTTGCCACCATTCCTCTCTCCAATTGGAGAAAAATGTCTCTCCTGATATGACACTTCAAAAGCAGCTTTTAATGGAATATCATTCATTTAAAGTCGTTTAGGTTTTATGTGTTTTCACTGAAGCTGTGGCTTGTTTGTTAGGGTAACAGTTACAAAAAGCACTGGAGAGTTAGCATCTGATGTTCAAGTTGTTCCTCCATTGCCTATGCAGTTACATTGCAAAATTGGCTCAAAGAATGCAAACTTTTCTCTCACAATGAACACAAACGGTAATACACACAATTGCGCAAAATGTGCTGTTATGAAAAGATGCAGATCTTCCAGCAGTTTTAGTATCAACTTTGGTATCCCCCACTCAGTAGTTCTATCTTATCCCCTTTTATGCTAAAATTATATAAGGTGCTCTACTGACAGTTCTTTCTTTCTTGAAAAAGCTCTTTTACAAACAGCCCCTGCATCTTACAAGATGAAAATTACTGCTTACCCCTAAAGCCCCAGTTGCATTTAAGTGTTGCATATTTACTTCAATACACAGGCCTAAGGAGATAAATGCTCTAGGGATAAAAAATAATTCTTACCACCAAGAGGCACCATTACTGCTTGGTTTTAAAATGTAGGGGGGGTGTTGAAGAATACCCCCCCCCCTTCAGCAATCACTAGTATTCATCTGAGTTCAAATGTAAATGGGAAACTCAGCTCATCAACTCTGATATATGTCTTTCTTTACACTGGAAGCAATGCAAATACAGAAAGACAGAATAGGCATGGTTGCATATACTTGCTGTTTGCAGTACCATATAAGAAAACTGAAGAGTATATTCCAATTTATTCTAAAACCATGGAGTGTAACTACAGCATATAACAACCAATGTAAAATATGTCAAGCAGTGGTGCATAGGCACTCGATGTTTTCCCAGCATCTGCCACACGAGAACAGTCATGAAAACAAATACGGTTGGGCTGACTATGCCACAGTTTGAATCAATGAACAAATCTCTTCTGCTGTATTTAGGCATTTTATTTTGCAGTTTTGCATACTGCCAAAACAAACCTCCTTATGTTATTTGATGAACCTAGTCAATCAATGACAAGCAAACCAGTTTATGACCACATGGTTCAGGGTCAAAACTGAGGCAGATACTACCTCTGAATGTATATGATACATACGTAAATAGTAAGTCAGTTCAGTTCCCCACCTCCACCCTACCCCCAGCAAGACAAAATACTGTCTTTGGCAATATATTAACTGAAACTTTAGCTGAAAGAATAGTACTGATGAAAATACAAATTAAAGTAAAAGATATGACAAACCTGCATTAGATAATTAACTGCTAATAATAAGCAAATGTTGTACTACCCAAATGGATTCTTACTGTATGGAAGGTAAACAGCATTTCAACTGCTGTGTGTCTGCAGTCTTCCTGTGGTAAAGATATATTTTTAAATACAAGTATTTCAATGCAATCATTATCAACTGTAGTGTAGTTTCTCTACTGCACAAAACCATCAGGAAAAACACTAAGGATGTTAAGTGGTGTGTATGCATTTCTCTGTATCCTCAGTGAACTGTTCCTGCTGAGCAGTGCTATATCCAGTCATCGGAAAGGTTGTACTGCAGATCCTGTTACAAACATCAGGCACTATCCCACTGAAATGAAGTCAAGCATCAGTGATTTCCATTCCAACTTGTAGGAACAAACTTAGCATTCCAAAAGCAAACGAAAATCATTTGTGTTTGTTCACTGCTGAAGCAAGGGTGGGAGGGAAGAGAGACCCTTTTTGGATTCCTCTGTCACAAACTGTATACTATTTCATACCCTTTCAAAAGGACAACTCATTAAGCACCGGGCTCTGCAATTACAAGACAAATGGTAATCTGTATTCTTAAAAGCACCTTTGTCACTTTATTTTGCAGCATAAATTGGTGCTTTTCAAAACACTTGGAACCAGCCTAAGAATATAATCAAAACACCTCTCTTGTATAAGGTCTGTGAGTATTGTGCTGGGTATGCACTGGCTGCTTATTATAGCTGGAGCTCTGAATGAACCTCTGGAGAAATGTATGTATCCCATAGCACAGGACTCAGTTGCGTAAAACTGCACTGTCAGTACTAATGCAGCAAGCATCTGGATGGGACCGGCACAGAAGGGAGAGGCGGGTGAGAAGAAAGGGGTCTTTCACACTACTCCCATCATATCTGCCTTGGATACCAACTTCACCCTCCCCTCCAAAAAAAGGAGGCATATTTTTGCCAAAGCTTATTCTGCACTGCAGCCACTTTGCTTTCATAAAGCTGTGCAAAGGGAGGAGGAGAGTGGGTGAGCTTGCTTACTCTCCGATGAGCCATTACAGCTTTCAGAGGCTTAACAAGGAGTGTGAGAAAGATGCTTTAGGGGGAAGCGCAAAAACTAAGTCCAAGGGGAGACCCTCCTGCATGTCTCATCTGCTTTATCCTCCTCCTTCTCCCTCAATTACATTCGATAAGTGTTCCAGAGCCCACCGAGCAAGCAGCCAAGGGAGATGCCTCCAAAGTTGAGTGAAGTACCACAGACCCACCAAGAGTGGGGCATTTCAGGGAGCGGCAGAGGAAGTGGGTGAGGAGTGGAAGTATATTTTAATTCCACTGAGGAAAACAGAAAACCAGTAAAAACAAATAGGCTGTATCTACAGGGAGGCTAGGGTGGTGGGGGCTCTGATGAAGGAGCAATAACAGGAGGAGAGAAAAGGGTGTTCCTCTGAATGGGGACACAGGAGTAGTTTGGAAAGGGGATGGGTCCTCCTCCTGTCACCCTCCTCCACTGCCCTATAACCAAGTCAAAGTCTCTGTGCCAAGTGGAAAGCTTGGCCCATTTTGCTGCAGAGCAGGGAGGGAGGGAGGGAGGGAGGGAGGGAGGGAGAGGGTGGGATTTTCTAATGGAGGGGTGAGAAGAAAGGGGGTCAAGACTAATTTTTCCTTAAAGAAGGGTGGGGAGAAAGACTTCTTCCTTCTCCTCCTCCTATCTTCTGAGCCCCAAACTTTGGGGGGAGGGGGCGGTAAGTTTTCCAAAGGGAGGGTGAGAAGAAAGACCTCTCCTAATCTTCTTCTTCCTCCTTCAAACCCCAGAACCCCACATGTAAGTGTATGTGTGGGGAGGAGAGGCTGGTTTTTCAAAGGGAGGAGAAAGTCATCTCCCTCCTCTCTCTCCTCCTCTAATCTTCTGAACCCCACACCTGTGGGAAAAAGGGGAAATGATGGCTTCAAAGGGGGGGGGACGAGAGAAAGACCTCTTCTTTCATTCTTCATCTAAGCTGCTGAGCCCCTCACATATATGGGAGGGGGAGAGATATTTTGAAGGGAGGGATGAGGAAGACTCCTCCTCCTCCTCCTCCTCTAAGTTCCAGAGCCCTATGTATGTGGGGATTAAAGTGGTGGTGGTGGTGGGGTTGTGGAAGGGAATGTGAGAGGAAAGACTCTTTCTTCCACTTCCCTGCTTCCTCCTCTAAGCTGAACTCCTCACATATTGAACATTATGAGGAGAAGGGGTGAGGAGGAAGACTTCTTCTTCCTCTCCTTTTTCTCTAAGAGCCCATACCTGGGGAAAGGGAGAGCAGTATTGTAGAAGGGAGGGGTGAGGGGGGAGACTTCTTCCTCTCCTTTCTCTCCAAGAGCCCCATACCTGGGGGGAGGGAGGGCACTATTGTAGGTGGGAGGGATGAGGAGAAAGACTTGTTCTCCCTCTCCTCCTCTAAGCTCCAGAGCCCCACTTATGTGAGGATTAAGGGGGCGGTGGAAGAGAATGTGAGGGTAAAGACCTCTTCTTATAGTTCCCTTCTTCTTCCTCTAGGCTGAGCTCCTCACATGTGGAACATTTTGAGAAGGGGTGAGGAGGAAGACTTCCTCCTCTTCTCTAAGAGCCCCACATCTGGGGGAAGGGGGGAGCAGTATTGTAGAAGTGGGGATGAGGAGAAAGACCTCTTCTTCCACTCTTCCGCCTCTTAAAAGGAGGAAAGAAAAGGAAGGATATTTTGAAGGGGGGGGGGGGGTGAAGCAAGAGACTTCTTTCCTTGCTCTCCTCTAAGCTTCAGAACCCCACACCTGGAAAGAGAGGCCAGTTATTTGCGAAGTGGAAAGGGGGGGGGGGAACTCTTCTAGTCCTCCTCTTCCTCTTCCACGCTCTTCAGCCCCACTCACGCCTTGTGGGGGGGCCACAACGGCCAACTTCGACGCAGAGCCCCCCCCCCCCACCAAATCCAAAACAAAAAGGGGTCGGGCGGAGTGTCTGTCCGGCGGTCCTACCTGAGCACAGCCGTGTCCCCCTTCCTGACCACCAGGCTGTCCACGGCGGTCCCGGGAAAGTCCACGCTCTGCCCGGCGGGGAGGCAGGAGGGCAGCAGGCAGCAGAGGCTGAGCAGCAAGGCGGCCAGCCACTGGTTGGAGCAACAAGCGCCCTGGACCAGGAGCATCATGTCCATGCCTGCCCGACGCGGCTCCGCTCCGGCTCCTCGCGGCGGCGACGACGACGACAAGGGCGGCGGTGGCTCTCGTGCTCCTCCTCCTCCTCCTCTTTCCTGTGGGGTTCCAGGGGCCAAAGGCGCGCGGGGTAGGATAGATCCGACGCCTGGCTGCTTCTCCTTCTCTTTCCTCCTCCTCCTGCTGCTGCTGCTGCTGCTGCTCTCGCCTCCTCTGCGGCCACCCTCCCGCCCGAGCCTGCCTGCCTGCCTCCTTCCTTCCTTCCCGGCGTGCCTTCCCTGCTGCTGCTGCTGCCTCCTCGAGCCGCTTCTCGCCGCGTCCGGAGCGTGTCTGGTCTCGGGTGCCTCGCACACCATCTAGCGAGGAGGGAAGCGCGCCCGAGAATGAGGAGGCAGCCAGCAACGCGGCGGCGGCGGCGGAGGAGGAGGAGGAGGAGGCAGAAGCGCAGGCAGCAGCAGCAGCAGCAGCAGACGGACCCCAGGCTCGGAGCCCGTTGCCATGCAGCCGTTTCCGTAGCAACTTGTCCTGCTGGCTGGTGGGGCTGGCTGGTGGGGATGATGGAGCCCAGCAAAGCGGGAAGGAGGGAGGCAGAGAGGGAGAGGGAGAGGGCCCGGCTGATGAGGGGCTCTGCCCCTCTTAAGCAGGGAGGAGAGTTGGGCAGGTAGCGTGGGATGCGTATATTCCCACAATTTGTCCCCAAAACAAAACACACAGTGGCATAGCCACATTGTGTGTGTGTGTGTTGGGGGGGGGGGGAGAATGTGTACATACACACACACATAATTGAATATATATATATGTGTGTGTGTATGTTGTATGTGTGTGTATATATTCCACAACTTCCCAACACATACACACACTGGCATATCCACAAAAAGTGTGTGTGTGTGTGTGTATATACATATACATATACACACACACACATACATACATACATACATACACACACACACTCGTTTTGTGGATTAATATTCTATCTATCCCCTACAACTTGCCAACACACACATATTGTCATAGCTACAGTCTGTGTGTGTGTGTCGGGGGGGGGGAATATATGCAATTAATGCACACGCAATATAATCTCCACAATTACCCCTCAAGACATACACTTTAGCAGAGCCACTTACCGCCTGCATGTGTGCATTTTGAGGGAGGAGTTGAGGAAATATAGTAAAATTAACGCACGTAAGTGTTCTCCACAACTTCTCCTCAACATAGACATATCTACACCCGTGTGTGTGTGTTTGCGTATGCACTATATCTCCCCCCAATACTGCTCTCTCTGTCTCTACATACACACATTTTTCGCAACTTTCCCTCAACACAGACATTGGCATATCCACACCCGAGTGTGTGTGCGTGTGCACTACGTCTCCCCCCAAACACTGGAACACACAAACACACACATTCTCCACAACTTCCCCTCAATACAGACATTGGTATATCCACACCCGTGTGTGTGTGTGTGTGTGTTTGGGAGAAGATGTAGTGCACACACACACACACACACACACGGGTGTGGGTATGCCAATGTCTGTGTTGAGTGGAAGTTGTGGAGAATACGTGTGTGTGTGTGCAATACTAAATCCCCCCCCCAAAAAAACCAATGGAATGAATATATATATATATATATATATATATATATATATATATATATATATCATACACACACACACACACGTATTCTCCACAACTTCCCCTCAACACAGACTTTGGCATATCCACACCTGTGTGTATGTGTGCACTACATCTCCCACCAAACACTGGAATGAATAGAGATACACACAGCTTCATACACACACATACACACACATTCTCCACAACTTTCCCCAGACACTGGAATATAGATACAAACACACACACACACACAGGGTGGGTTGGGGCAGAAGTCGTAGAGAGAGAGACACACAGGCAGAGTTTCAATCCCAGTGGTTTTTGAGAGGGGAGGGGAGAGGTGACCTGCCCCACCAGTGATGGCAAGATCAGCAAAAGGCAATTCAAGGCATTGATTGATTGCCGCCCGATGAAAGACACCGACTCCACCTGGCGCGTGCCAGACCAGGCACGGAGAGACCAGGACGAGCCGGCGTTCTTCTCCAGAGGAGCCGCGCTTCCTCTTTCTCCCCCACCTCTAACTTTTCCATTATTTTTCATTCGTTCTCCCCTACCCTCCCTCCACAACAACAATAACGGGCGGGCCAGCAACCTTAGCGTCTGACTACGTTTCCCCTTCGCTCTTCTCTTTGAAAACGGGGGAAAGAGCGGGCAAGCGGGTGTTTCTAATCCGGGCTTGTCTTTTTCCCCCTCACGTGGACGCGCGCGCGCAGGAACACAGGCCGGAGCAGAGGCAGATACTAGATACACTCGGCTCGCCTCCCTCCCAGAAACGCGCTTACAGCTCAGCTACAGCAGGCTGAAGGCAAAGCCCAGTTTGATGTGAGTTGGAGGCTCTATGGCCTGAAATATGGTAGTTCAGGGAAGGAAGGAAGTGGTATTCAACACCCCCCCCCCGCCCCAAGCACACACACAGGGACAGTAATAAAGAGTTACAGACTAATTATTTACGACATTTATATGCCGCCCTTCTCACCCCGAAGGAGACTCAGAGCGGCGTACAAGACATATATAATAATATTATATTATTAGCATAGTACAATATCAGTATTACACATTACTATATTGTACTATTATATTGTAATATTATTAGCAACATTACATGAAATATAAAATATATAATTATATTATTAGTAGTAGTATTATATTGTATTACATTATAATATTATAAATATTATATGTATATATTATATTATATTATATACACAGGAGACAAGGTAGAGCTGTCCCCTGCCCCCACCCCCTCTTCACTCTGGCCCAGAGCAGCAGTTGGTGCTGGGGGGAGAGGTCCCCAACTGATGACATATGCAGGAGACAAGATGGAGCTGTCCCTTGCCCCCTGTAGAGAAGTGTTTATTATAAAGGGTTTATTGTACTGTGTTTAAACTGTATTTATGTTTTACATGC